AGATAAGTAATGGTTAACAGTAAAGTAAACATCAGTGAATTCTAAAATGGTCATGACTGACCTACTAAAAGAAAAAGATGTGAAAATATGTCCAACAGAAGCCATTCACCCATCTTTCATTCATGGCTTCAGAAACGTTCATTAAATAATCGCTCTGTGGCAGAGAAGTAGAATCAAGGGCTACACAGAAGGCAAAAGCTCCAGGATTCCATACACTGAAGAAAACAAACAAACAAACAAAAAAAGGACCCCTAAAAATATTCTGTTCTTTAAGAAAAAGACCAGTAGGTTTCCTTTCTTGTCTTATCAGATGAATAGAATTTAAACCCTATATCATTTTTTCTTCCTAGTTTGTATCATATCACTCTGTACAAGGATACACTAAGGGCAAAAGGCACAGAATAGAGTTTTTTCAAAAATCAGATAAAAACTTTTACACTTTCTTGTACAACAAATGAAAGAATGCTCTGCTGCAAAGCAAGAGAGCTTTTCTGTCTTTCAACCTGGAGAAATGGATGAAAAAGCTCCTGATCAGGCTGTAGGTCACCATCACCAAGGAGCCGCTCCACTGTACACCTCCCACCTGCCGTCCCCAGTGCTGTCTACCCCTGCTTTTCATCCTCCACCTGGAAGATTATTTCACCTCCCACACAGCCCAGCTCTGCTCTGTGCTATCTCCAGGGCTGCAGGCTGRGGATGTCACTGGGATTTTCTTTCCTAACCTCAGTGTGGTTCCTCAGTCTGAAGTACTTGCTTCAGCAAACTCATAGTTGGAAAGATTCCTATCAATTGGATAATTAAATAAAGAAAAGTTCYCTTGCAAACAGTCATTAGCTGTGAAACTGTTATATATTATAAGTTTCTTCATTCCTTTCTCTTTTTCCTTCCTATTTCGTTTTTAGGCTGAGATAGAAACACTTAAGAGATCAGTTCCATGGTAAAATCAGCCCTCATAGCCACAGATTTGGCAACCACAGATCCAACCCACTACAGATTGAAAAGACGTTTCAATTCTAATTGTGTCTACTGAACAAGAACAGTCTTTTAAAATTTTGTCAGTATTTCCTAAGCAACACAGAACAACTATTAACATAGCATCTATATTGTATTAGGCACTGTAAGTAATGTAGTGATGACTTAAATTACAGGGAAGGATGTGTGTAGGTTCTATACAAAGTACTACTTCACTTTACACAAGTGACTTGAGCATCTGTGGATTTTGCTATAGGGGTGAATCTTGAAAACAAAAATCAGGAGATATCGAGGGACAACTGTACACATGATTTACTTATCTAACTGGGGCTTCCTTTTACCCAAAAGAAATATACTACTTCTTTAAGCAGCAAATATATTCCTAGAAATATCCATTGGGCAACTCTTTTTCTGTCCACAGGCACTCCATCTGACTGACATCTCTCACTTTCACCCAATCCTAGAGAACACATCAATTTTCCTTAATTAATTAGTTCTCATTGGAACATATGATGGTAAGTTATACAATTACAGAGGCTTATTGAAACAGTTCAAAGAATTCTCAATCACCAGAGGCTTGGAAGTCGCCCCAGGTGCCATGAGCTATCTGACATGGCAAGAAGAAGCATGCTGCAGTGATGTGATTTGAAAGATCCTGGGAGAATTCTCTCAGCATCTTCGCCGACTAGCCATGATTGAAATCCCAATGTTAGCAGTTTCTTTCCTATAGTCCATAGGAGAATCCTTGAATTCAGCTGAAATATCAATTTTTTGTTCTCTTACTCAAATGACCTTAACCATGCCACTAATCATCCCTGAGCCTCAGTTTCCTTTTCTGGGTAAAGGAGATGATAATAAAACCAACCTCAAGGGATATTGAAATGTAAATATCAGAAACAGTACATCAAATACTAAGAACACTTCAGCATGTAATAGCATTTTTAAGGGACAATATTATTTAGGAGTTGTAATATATTAAACTGCTCTCTAGAAGGTGCTACACTAGCCCAAGTCTGCCCGAGTCTGTTCTGATTAACTTTCTCCAAGATCAGAAACTCCGAGGGAATTTTACAAGGCAAAGCCATTTGTGGTTTATTAGATGCCCTCGGAACACCAGCAATGCTAAAAAGAACATGCTATCTGAAATAAAAATCCAAATTTTATGTGGAAAAGCATCTTGACCGTAATTTGGTCAAGAATAATGTTGGATGAATGTTGAACCTAATTAATCATTTCACCACAGTATCAGCTTTTGTACTTTTCCTTTTTGCAATAAATAATGGAATCGGATACATAAAAAAATGAATGCATTTMCACAAGGTTCTACCAGGTGCTGTGTCTGAATGCATATTGCATGTCCTCAATCCCTATGCTGACAGAGCTAGCTCATTGATATTTCCCACAGAAGGAGCTTGCTTCATGATCTGGATTCAACCTTCTTTCCTAGCTTCATCCCATGTAGATGCTTCATCCCCTGTAGATTCTCCATATGAAACTATGCAACAACTATATCAATGAGCCCACGTTTTGGGGAAATAGTGGTTTTCATACTTTTTTCACATTACTCTGTCTCAGCACACAGAGGTTCCTCCTTCCTGTATAACACTAACTTGCATATTCTTCTAGATGGCTGGCACAGAAGGGAGACTTCGTAAATAAGCCAAAAAAAAAAAAAAATACCACATGGCATAAAACATACAGTTGCTCATATAAAAAGTTATTCCCCAAAATCATGTATCCTTAGACAATGGATAAAACCTAAAAGAGTTGAGTTGGAATCTCAGCCTTTGTGTTTTCATGAGAATGATGAAATGCACTTGGTCTTTTCCCACCTAGACTTGGCCACCACAGGTTCCACAGGAACCCCTGTRGATAAGGCACACAATGTTCTGAAGGGAAAGTTAGTTCTCCTCTCCTGATTCTTGGAAAGTTGGCTGGTTAACAAGACCCATATCTCATAATGACTTCTGATAATCTAGTAGAGGTTGCTGGACCCAGAAGGAGGAACAGGGTGGGATTTTTGCATGCCTCTAAAGGAAGTAGAAAGGGTGGTGAGATGTGCAATAATCTCTAAGGTGMTAAAGATGTGCTGGCCCAAGAGATTGAGGAAATCATGTCCCTCTGAGCACAGTCTAGATGATGAAGACAAAGCAACACATGAGGGAGTTCAGAGGTTCATGAACTAATGAGCAGATCAGAGGAGGGACAGACTGGAATCTTAGTAGAAGTCATGAAAGTAGAATGTTCCAGAGAAGTGAGTATAGAGTAACAACCATATTAAGTGAATGATACCATTGTCCCCACTGCCCTTCAATGTGCAGTAAATTAAGCACTGGCCTGTTGTTCCCTAAAAGGGGAKTTTCTCAACAGTGCGCAGTAGGAAAACCCATCAAAGGAGAAACACTTCCCTTTATCAATGACTTTCATCTTGCATCCTACCTCTTACATCAACTTCTCTAATTATACACCAGGAAGTGAAGGTGTTTCCATTGAAGCCTATAAATCTRTAGATAATATCTAATATCATGCACAGTGAAGCTGAACTTATGAATCAAAGAGATGACTGAATCCAAGCTGCTGGGAATGGAGAACTTGAATATGTTTTCCTGGCAAACACAGCCCTCTACCATTTATCACACGTAACTCCCATGCTTGTAGAAGACATTTTTTGTGGTGATTCCTCCTCTCCAAAGATATTTAAAGTTTATGTGTTCCACCAACTACACATCAGGTGTCTACTGCCTCATGAGCTGGTCTTGAGTGGTATAATGTTAACAGAGATACAGTCACAATCCAGGACACAACTTATATTTTTTGTAGGTTTTCACAATGCTATCAGAGAATTTACTGTGGGTAAAGTAGAGGTCCKAAGAAAACCAGAGGGCCATTGTACGTGCAGTCAACTTCATCTGATTCTCTCCATATGAAGAAAATAGGGTAAGGAGAAGACAGTTAGGAAACTTGCCGTAAGAGAGCAGCCCTGTGGTGTTCTGAAGTGGTTATCCATATCATATGCAACCCAATGGAGCCAGATGCTCAGCCCTTTCCTCACTGAAGTGAGGTTTAGACTCAACCTGACATTTTGTTTGCAGCAGTCCCTGCTGGTAACAATTTGAACAGTGAAAGAAAATTACTGTTCCAAAAAGAAATTTTATCTGGGCAGAGAGCAGCTTGACATAAGGATTCTTAAATGTGATTGAGCTGCATTTGATGAGGCAAGCAAAATTGCATAATCCAAAACCAAAGAATGCCTTAAATTCAGTCAATACCAAAGGGTATGTGGAAATGCTCTGTGCATATTTTCATAGCTAATACAGTGGAAAGCAAACAATTCAGCTGGAGGACGAAGGAAACATAGTTTAATGGGCATGAAAACTTAAAACGCGACTACAGTTTACAGAATTAACTTACTTTAGGAGAGTTTGATATATTATCGCTACAGATAGACCAACTTCAAATTTGGAATTTATTATGTGATAAACATGCATGACCCTGGGAAAAATAAATTATCTCCTCCCAGCCTCTTTCAACCTAAAAATGAAAAGCCAAAAAGTCTTACAGAATATAATGACTACTATGAAGGTTAGTTAGATGATCAATATATATGAATTTGCTATATTTTTGTTGGTGGCGAAAGGAACTAAAAAAATCAGTGACAGAAAGGAGAAACTTTCCATATAATTACACATTACAAACCCATCACTTCCTTCACCCAAACCTATATTCCACCCATAATTGACTCAATTGCATAGCTCAATATTGCTTTCCATTCCTTTGGTTTGAAATGCAAGATTCCAAATACAAGAAGACAGGCAATGTTGTAACCGTATGCCTTCATGTCACAAACCTCAGTAGTAGTCCTGTAAATATCACAACTAGCTATTTTCAAAATTAAAAACAATCACAAATATCATGGGGCCTGGGTTCTTATTGAATCTCTAATCCACATCGTTCTCTCTTTGGGGAAATTTCATGCATCAATTAATGTGCTTCCTCCACAACTGTAGAAAGATGGCAATTCTCATTACCATTCATCCTTGTCAGCATCACAATTGCAAAAATGTCGAATGTCCAGGCAACTCTCTTCCAGGCCACAACCACACTGCTGGACTCCGGGAAGAGACCCTCCCCAGTAAGGATGCCTTTCATTGGACCGCCCGATCCACCAGGTAAATGGCGTTCCATCTGAAAGACAAGAGAGTTCACAGCTTAGGGACATAAGGTTGAAGCAGAGCACAGGAAATCATAGAACTTAGAAGAAAATGTCTCAAGGAATTTGGGTTGTATGTGTACACCCACATTAAAAAGGAAGGAAATACTTTTTGGAGAGGGTTTGTCATGATTCACCATATATATATATGTCTCATCTCTCTGCTTTCTTTTCTTTTTTCCTTCCTTCCTCTTTTCTTTCCTTTTTCCTCTTCCTTCCTTCCTTCCTTCCTCTTTATTTCCCTTCTTTTTCCCCCTCTTTCTTCCTTTCCTCTTTTTTTCCTGCCTTTTTTTTCTGTCTCTCTCTCTATATACATAAATGTATATATGTATGTATGCACACACATATATGAACATACAAATCATATTTGCATCAAAACTGTTTGAATATTGTTTAGTGACAACTCTCAAGAGGCAGGGCCACAAATTCAGGTTCCTATGATATCAGTAAGGAATCATAATTGAGTGAATTGGACATGCGTTGACATAARCCAAACACAAAACATTATATATGAATTTTAAAAATTCCTTTAAAAAAGTACCAAARACAAAAGCACCACCATCACCAGGGCCAGAAAGAGTCTGACCTTTGTTCTCTGCCTCTGTTAGACAATGAGGAATGTGGAGCCTGAGAAAAAGGAATGTTGGTTCAGGAAAGGGGTCCTGACTTACCTCCCATGGCCTTGTGTCAGCATAAGAACAGCCCCAGGGTGACTTTATATTTTGATTTTTTTTTTTTTAAGATTAGTCATGAAATTTCATGTTTATAGGTTTGGAGAAAACCCATCAGATAGGGGCAGTGACACATGCCTGCCATCCCAGAGGCTCAGGAGGCTGAGACAGAAGAAACATGAATTCAAAGCCAGCCTCAGCAACTCAGAAAGACCCTGTCTTTAAATAAAATACAAAAATGGCTGAGGATGTGGCTCAGTGGTTAAGTGACCCTGGGTCTAATTCCCCACAAACAAATAAAAACCATAAGCATCAGGAAAGCCAATAATATGTAGAGCAAATAAAACCTTTTGAAGGCCATATTCTCATACAACTGAGAAGAAAATGTCCTTCTCAGTTTGAAGAAACCYACGAAATGTGTTTAACCCACAAAAATGGGTATGCTACATACAATTTCCAGTTCACATAGTTAATAGCAAACCATTCCTGAGTTTTGCTCTCATTTTTTTCTTTACAAATTTGAATGTATTAAAACCTGTTAAATATTCTTTTCATGATTAAGAATGTTTCAGTAGCGTAGTATTACCATTAAGAAAATTACAGTGTATCCTAAACAACAGGTGTAGATTGAGATGGAGATGTTTTACATTAGGCTGAAAGGTGTCCTGCCTGGGCTCCCTTTGATAACCACTGTTGTGTTTCTGTTCGGTATACAAAAGATGCTTATAATGTGCTTATTTAAAAAGTGAAGGAAATATTTATTAAAGACTGTTTTTCATGATTCATCATTTAAAAGTAGAATAATAACACTTGTTTGAGGAGGCTATTAGGTTTTATTGTGCAGTAGGTTCTCATTTACAAATAACCGCAATATATAAACAGTACCAACTTTCTTTTAGTTGTCCTCATGGCTAAGGTTCTCATGGAAGCTACTGTGTCAAGTCAAGGAGGAGGCCACCCCAGAGCTTTCCACAATTTGTAAAACATGCGAAGAACATGAGGAAGATTCTATTAAAAGCAGAATTATTTTAGGAGTGCTACTTCACAGCAGACAGTCTGAAAGTCTGTATTAGCCCCAACATAATGTTGTACCAATCTAAAATAGTATACAYCCCTTTATAATCATCTGAGCTAGAATAGCAGTTACAGATATTTGGGGAAGCAGTATCCTTCTTAATAATAATTCTAAATGACATAAATCCATTTTCCCTAATTCCAAGTAATTATAAGTCACTGTTAAGTACTTCAAATGAATTGGTTTCTCCTTAAATCCCCACTCACTGATGTGGCTTGGAGGGCTGATGGGTGTATCTAGCAAATACAGCACTTTCAATAGGAAGCTTGGGTAGATGGTTCCATTGTGTGAGTCCAAGTAACATAATACTTGGGCAAAGGATTTCCTATTTTGTATGCATTCACCAGTGGGGCTTGAGTCTAAGAAAGGGAAGAAACCGCTTAACCCCTTTCTCTTTTCAGCACTACCCAGAGATCTCCTTTTAAGAACATAGAATCTAGACTAAATAGTCAAGCTCAGTGTCATCATGGATTTTTTTTTTTCTATTTATAAACTATCCCAAAGGGTAAGCACATTAACAGTCCTGTTATCAATGGTATAATTTTCTGAAYAAGCAATTTGTACGCAACTTACCATGAATATGTTGCTTCTAGAGGCTTTACAATCCTTATTTGGTATTTTACCCTGCCTAGAAGTTCTATAAGCTTCTCAAGCCTGTTTTGTTTTGAATGTATTAATGTCTTGTACCACTGAGGCTCAACAGTCCTCTCCTAAACTCTAGCAATTGGCTTCAAGGTTACAAATTGTATTAACCTATTGACTGTCAACAAAGAAAAAAAAAAGGAAGGGAAAGAGAGTAACATTTTTTTTTTACATATATATGAATGATGTTGGTGAATTTTTTCCCCCAGATGTCCCAGCTCATCCCTGAAGAGGACTGGAGAGAACATAAACATGCGGAAGCTGAGGCTCAAATAGGATAATTGATTTGCCTCAATTCATGACTCTAATGATATAGTCAGGAAAACATTCTATGCCTTAACCGCAAATTTTGACCACTGAAGAAATTGATTTGTTTTTCTCCTTACAAAATTTTCTTTCACAAAGGAAAGAAAAAAAACATAATTATAAAAATTGCACTTAAAAGATATTACTTTATTCAGTGAATATTTACTGGGACTTTACAATATTTCAGGTACTGTTCTGAGCACTTAGAAACATCATTGACCAAAACAAACCAAAACAAAGAAACAAATAAACAGTGCATACTTCCACAGAGCTTTATTCAAATAAGAGAAAATGTACAATAATAATAATAATTAAATAACTTAGTATTTAGAAAGAATAAAAAGTATAGAAAAATAGAGCAGACTAGGGAAGTAGAGCATACTATGAAAAAGGGAGGTTTTCGATATTTAGTGAAAATGGTCAGGGGAGACTTCACCTGAGACAAACTATGAGCAAAACCTGAAGGCACTGGAAAAGTCACATGTGGCCACTGACCAAAGTGCAYCACAGACAAAGGAAATGGGCAACCTAAAATAAAAATCAAAGCATTTTCTAAAATCCAAGACCATTGTGGTTTGGATCTAATAACATGCTCCAAAATGTTTATGTATTAGGCAGTAAAGAAATGTTCATAGGTGACGTGATTATGAAGCCGGAATTAGACAGGCAGTCAGTATAGATAGATAAATTGACTCAGTTCAGATCAAGTCAGGCCAGTTTTGAATAAGTCCTGGGATGTTGGAGACTGTCCCCTGAGGAATTGAAATGTTWATTCCCTCAGAGCCCTTCCTCCACCCTTATCCAGAACCTGCCCCTGCTCCAACYTGTTGCCAAGGTAACCTGTCCCAGGAATTGCTCCTCCCTCCAGGGAGCTTAAGGTTGATAATGTGTTCTGAGCTGTATCATCTTGCCCTTCTCCCTTCAGCCCACCTGTTTCCCACCTTTTGGCCACCCCACCAATCATTCCTGGGCCTAGTCACACATGCGGGAAGAAGAAAGATGGGGGCGGGGGGGGGGAGGCAAGAGAACAAAGGAATCCTAGGACATATAAAAAGGGCAGAACACCTCACTTCCGGGGATACCAGGATACCAGCTATGGCTCCCTTCTCCCTCCCCGGAGAAGTCTATGTTACCCCTTTTTAAATAAACCCGGCTTTATATGCTTGCCTTGGCGTGCTTCTCTAATGTTTAAACTTCAACATGTCAGATAACTCATCACCGATAACCAGCAGTATCCATTAAACCTCTGAAATCTCAGGTTTTCTTTTTTTTTCTTTTCAGTAAAATGAGATTACTTATAAAAGTGTCTACCTTTACAGATATTTCTAAGGAAACAACAGACTCTGAAAAGTGGGGTAAGGGCAAACAACAATTTTACTTTGACAATCAGGAAACCATTCTGCTTTGAAAGGAAGCAGAATGGGAAACRAACAAATCAATTCACCCCACAGCTGCATTCATGCAACATAGTTCACAGTAAAAGAAACATGCAGGATGCGTTTTGATCACAGGTCCTGAGGCCCTGCAATTTTACAGGCCAGCTCCTTAGCCAGGGGACAGTTTTACTTCCCATGCACAGCTGCAGCAGCTATATACCACAAAAACTTCCTCTAAAGAGTCCAGATGAAAACCAGGAAAGGATTACCTAGGAGAGCACACCAGGATCTCCTAGGAACTACCTTAAAGATCTTGGAGGAAGGTAAGGACCCCAGAACATAGGATATGGAAAAGAAACCTGAGGAATTGCATTAATTTGTATTACTTTTATACATTTAGAATCATTATTATTATATAACTTCATGTATACAAATAAGGTCTGGGAAATTCAGATTACATAGTTAGTATGCAGATTTCATTACCTTTTGATATATAGTCAGAAGTGGGATAGTTGAATCAGATCTATACATTATTTTAAATGAAATAAGCCAGACCCAGAAAGATATGTACTGCCTGTTTCCTCTCAAATGTGAAAGTAGAAAGGAAAAAAAAAAAGTCAACCTGAATGTACAAGAGTGATTAATAGAGGTTGAAAAAAGTGTGGAGGTCTGGGAAAGATGAAGGATAACAGAAGGTGACATTTGACCAGTGCTTGCTGCGTGCCTGTAAGGATATATCACACTGAATCCCATAATGCATGCAATTAGTATATGTTAGTTAAAATAAAAATAAAAGATAAAAATAAGCACACAAGCACACACATACATATACAAATTTTATTCTTTGAGTGTTGCTCAGTCTTTTTTTAAATCCATTTCCTAGAACCTGAATTATCTGATATTTT